ACTTTCATTTAAACTAGTAAATAAAGAGAATTTGATCCACATTAAATAAATCTTTCATCTAAAGCAGTAAGATGAACTAAAAATTTTAGATATTCTATAATCTTCTTGTTCTTTGATATGTTAGTGATCAGGTTTTCATTCTCTTTTTAGTATTCTTCTGCAGAGTAATCTTCTTAATTAAAATCATGATCTTTAATTTTGTTGAGAACTTCTATTATTCTCTTAATCTTGTTATTTCCAGCATTTGTAATCCATTCCTTATTAATTAACTATACATTTGTACATGTTATATGTCTTATGTGTATTGTCTTAGATTTTTAATTTTTGAAAGAAATTATATACAATCTAAAATATTCTCCCTTTTGAATATCTAAATGAGGGTTAGGAAGACTAATTCATCAAATTCTTTAGATGAAGCTAAGATCCCATACAAATCTTCATGATCCTCAAAGTCAAAACACCACATTTTTCCTAATTTAAAAATAATATTGAATTTATATTCTTTATTTAAAATTTTATTTACTATAAATTCAAAAAGTATCTTTTTACGTTTTCGATTAAGGTAGCTAGCTCCTCTTAGTTACATCAAAACATAGGAGCTGTAACAACAGATGTCCCATAATAAGGCAATCAGCTTTAATGGAATGTCTGACACCTTCATCAATACTTGTATCAAACGTTCACTTTTAAAATGGAAGTAATCTTCGATAGAAACAAATTCCCACTGCTGCACAGTTCGATTGGTTCCACTTAATAAGTATTTCCGCTAGTTCCAACAGATCGTCAATTTCACCCACTTACAATACTGGGGTCACTTTATAAAATCCTTGAATTAAGGTTTCTTGCAAAGTTACAAAAATACATGACCTAGCGACGTACTTTATATCAAACAAGTTTCGTCCCACAAAGTATTTATTTTAACCTCATAAATTAGTTAGGCATTATTAAAAAAAAAAGGAAAACTGCCGATTCATAGATTTCAGTAACGCATTTAATTTAGTAGATAGGATATTAGTTTGTAATATATTAGAAGAGAATGTCATTCTAGATAAGTAAGAAGTTGAATCCCTTTAAGCATTTATACCATGATCATTTTTGCCTATGCATTCATCTGACTCTAAAATTTATAGTATTGAAAAAATCTGAAATTAGGATAATTCTAGAGTTTGTTATCTTGTTCTGAAATTGCCTTGAGTCATTAAACAAACACTTTACTCAAATTAATGATAAAAACTTCTTTGAGATTAAATAATGAAAGGCAAGAATAATATTAAAATGATTTAGATGGAATTAATTATTAGATAGCGAAAATGAGGTATGTAAAAAGATAAATTATTTAAATCTTAGAGAATATCCAAATACTAAAATAACCCTAATTGTTAATTCAAATTGAAGAAACTAACTGGAACAAAAAAGGTTATTTAAAATGATGTATATAATGAAAATATCAAATCTTATTTATTTAGTTATAAAGATAAATTTAAAATATAGGATTATGATAGCAAAGCAGCATGAAACTTCTTTCATATCAATTAAATTAGAAATAATTATTTAATTACTATTAATAAACAAACAATTACTTATTTTATTTAAATGAACATGCATTATATTTTACAAATTTATGAAATCTTAATTGTAATAATTTATCACCTGAATGAATGAAAAATTTATATGAGAATTATAAGATGGAGTGGTATTTCCTTTAACCATTTCAACTTTTAATTTAATAATTTTTCTCAAATAGCTCAACTATTCTCTGCCTTTAAATCTCTTTAATTTATCTTGATTTCAAATTTTTAATAAATAGTAGAAAGAAAGTGAAATATTGTTTCTGTATTTAAATGCAAACTGTCATCTAGAGATAACTGTAGTATTTGATCAAAGAGATAAAGAGATTTGGATACTAGATTGAATAAATGAATAATATTATCAAATAAAAATGGCAGCAAATAACGTAATGACCTTTGCTCTTTGAATTTATAACCAAACAATAGATTCTAATTTATATTAGTAGTTTAAGTTAAGAATTTGTCTCCATTAGATTTACTTGCTGTTCAAATACTAAATTGGGTTTAACTTTAAGAACTAAGAAAAAGTCAATGAATTTTAACAAAGAATGGCACACTTAGGATGATAATTATTGTAAAGTAAATTGTACATGATTGGGGAAACTTTGAGAAGCTTTTGCATTTAATTGGATTATAGTAAGAATTACGAGTTTTTCATGTCTTGAGAGGGCATCAGATAAAGAAGAAAAAAAATATCATTATGATCCATATTTTGTCCAATTTTCGTAATTGTTTGTTACCACTTGCTTTCATTTTTATTCAAATAGAATTTCTTGTTGATGTTACTCTCAGATTATTCCTTGACGATAATCAAGTAGAACATTTATTAAATGTGTATTAACTGTGTATCCAGCCAGATAATCTTTACACAAAATGTGAGAGTTCACATTTTACTAGGGTGTTATACAACTCTTATGGCACAAATCATTCATATAAATATTTCCACCTTTATCTTTTTTTATTACTAATAATGTTGCAATATCTTTATGAGTGTATGAATTACATATTTTATAAGCTGCACATCCTTAAAGAATTGGTGTTCCATAAACATCAATAACATTTCCTGCACATCCAGAAAGATATCTTTTTACGTATAAATAACTGGATTAGTCGTTGTTCCAAGCATAATTGGCTTCTTTCATATTTTTTTCATCATTCATCAATATAGTTTAGTATTTAATACGATTATAAAAAATTGTTGATGCTTCAGCTGCACAGCCTCTGTTATCACATATTTCACTGTAATATGATTCCAATCATTTTAGCCAGCATTTATAATACAGGCATTTTGAACTTTATGTTATTACCAGCGTTATTTATTACAATTTTAATTAATATTTATTAGAAATTATCTGATGATAATATCCTAAGATGGTAACATCAGGAAAATATTGAATAAACAAAACAAGTAGAAACTCTTTATTTTATATAGTTACTTTTGCCCTTTGAACTCTTTGCTCAACAGTTCCTACTACAAAAATTATAGCGACCCCATGCCTCAACCAATAAAAAATCAACAAAGCTAATCCGATAATTAATTATTTTTCTATCACTCTTCACAAACATATACTAAAATAGCATTTCTTTCTGAAACAAGCATAATATTCTAAATTAAAAAGAATTTATTTCAATCTCATCGATTTCTAAGTCGATATTGCATATTTCTGAAGACATTTTTTTCTATTTAACCTAAAAATTATCAACTTAATTTTTGATATTTTGGTAGGAATTTTATCACAATTTATCATAAGATTGTCTCTCCCTTTTTCCACTAAGGCAAAGATAAAAGCTAGTGTTGAAATCAGAGATTGACATAAATTTTTGATAGCCTTGCTTTCTTAGCAATTCAATCAAATATTAGCAATTAGTCAACCTTAAATTCTAATTATATAAATATTAAAAAATTTGGGATTTTATATCAATTTTTTATCATGATAATTCTGTTTTGTTTTCCAAATTATAGCTTCCTTTGGATTACAATAAATTTTTTAAATTTGTATTATTATAATTCTTATATTCTCCTTTATAAATTAACGTTCCTGCAGCCTAAAATACAGGATACTATGATATGAGCTTTCTAGTAATTGGAACAGCTAAATAACAGGTAAAATAATACCTTATTCATTAAACGATAATAAAGAACTGATTTAAAGAGGCATCTAAAACTTAGGTAACAGTTAATTATGAGCTTTAATCTAATATCCTGTTTTCAAATCCCATAAACGGATGGAGTTATCTGAACTGCCAGAAGCTAATGTAGTATCATCAGGAGAAAAGCTTACTGATAAAACCCAATTTTGATGCCCAATTAACTAAGATTTTTGATTACCTGTTTTAACATCCCACAAGCATATAGTTTTATCGTAACTACCAGAGGCTAATATAGTACCATTAGGAGAAAAGCATACCGATTGAACCCAACTGGTGTGACCATTTAATTAAGTTTTTTGTAGCCCAGTCTTAACATCCCATAACCGGATAGTTTCATCACGACTCCCTGATGCTAATATAGTACCATTAGGAGAAAAGCATACTGACTGAACCCAACTAGTATGACCAATTAATTAAGATTTTTGATGTCCTGTTTTAACATCCCATAACCGGATAGTTTCATCACGACTCCCTGATGCTAATATAGTACCAGAAGGAGAAAAGCATACTGACTGAACCCAACTGGTATGACCAATTAATTAAGAAATTTGTAGTCCTTTTTTAACATCCCATAACCGAATAGATTAATCACGACTACCAGATGCTAATGTAGTATCATCAGAAGAAAAACTTACTGACTAAACCCAATTATCATGACCTTTTAACTAAAACATTTATATTCCTGTTTTAAAATCCCATAAACGGATAGTTTTATCCACACTACCAGAAGCTAAGGTATTACCATCATGAGAAAAACATAGTGACTAAACTCTATCGAGATGATGATCTAATTAAAAATTTTATTATCCTGTTTTACCATCCCAAAAGCAAATAGATTTATCATCACTACAAGATGCTAATGTAGTACCATTTGGAGAAAAGCATACTGACCAAACTTTATCACTATGGCCATTTTATTAAGATTTTAATTCTCCTATTTTAACATCCCATAAATTGATAGTTTTATCATCACTGCCAGAGATTAATCTATTACCATCAGGAGAAAAGTAGACTGAATTTACACAATCTTTATGACTGTTTAATTATGTTATTTGTTTTCCTTTATTTGTATCCCATAAACGAATAGTGTTATCATTGCTACCAGACACTAATCTAGTACCATCAGGAGAAAAGCAGACAGAATTCACACCATTTTAATGGCCATTTAACTAAGATTTCAGTTGTCCTGTTTTAACATCCCATAATCGGATAGTCTTATCCCAACTAGCAGATGCTAATGTCGTCCCATTAGGAGAAAAACATATTGAAGTTACCTACTCAGTAAGACCTTTTATTTGTGATTATTGTTGTCCGGTTTGGCAATTCCATAAACGGATAGTTTTATCCATACTACCAGATGCTATTGTAATACTATCATCAGAAAAGCATAATGTATTCACATAGCTATTATGACCTTTTAAAGTTGATTAAAGTATTCTCCTTTTATTCTCCCAAATACGTATTGTTTAATCTTCACTTCCTGATGCTATTGAGTCTCCATTAGGAGAAAAGCAAACTGATTTCACTGAATCAGTATGACCTTCAAGTTTTGATATTTTTTTCCCTGTTTTAATATTCAATAAATAGACAGATTTACAACAGCAAGATGCCAATACAGTGCCTTTGGGCTAAAAGCAAACTGAGCTTATTATACCATGATAAAATAACACAGATTTTAATTTTCCTGTTTTGGCATCCCACAAACGAACAGAACTATCATCACTGCAAGAAGCTATTGAATTTCCAACAGGAGAAAAGCAAACTGAATTTACGCGTTAACTATGACCTTATAATTGATTTATTTCATCTATTTTTATGTTTTTCCATTTACAATTAAACAATTAAGCTCCATTTAAATTCACTCCACATATATCAACATTTTTAAATTTAGAACCACTCAAATTACATCTGAAAAAATTCGCTCCAACCAAGGATGTATTAATAATCTTGATATTTTAAAAACATTTTTTTGTTAAATCCACGTTCATTTCAACTAAGAGATTAAGTGAAATTGATCCACATTTTATAAATTTTTCGTCTATACTTGTAAGGTTTACTAGAAATTTTAAGAATTTGATTATCTTTTCTACTTTTAGGATTTGACTAATTAACTCATTCCGAAATATTTTCATATAACTTTTTGAATAATCCTCATTATTAAAATCATGTTCTTAAATTTATCCCATAATCTTAGTTAGGGATAAAATATTATTTTTTATGGAGCTTAATTCATATTTCCCTTCAAATTTTTTAACTTTTATAATGTATTTTTCAAAATGAGTTTAATTTTCATCTTTTGAAAGAAACCCTAGACAATCTGTAATTTTCTCTTATCTAAACATCTCAAGTAGAATTTTGAATATGTATGGGTCGATATCTTTTGCCATAGCAAAAATTTAAGAAATCATTAATTTCTTTGTTTTGAAAAGATAATTATGAATTTCTATTACTTATGAATTATTAATTAATATCTTGAAAGAAATATTATTTGCTAATATGGAATCGGCGTAATTGAAAGTTACAATTAAAAGCAGGTACATTGAATGTTTCTATTTAAGGGTTTTTAGAGTATTTGAAAAATCAGGTAATTTGAGAAAATGGAATATACTTAGAATTAATAATACTAATAGAGGATTAACAATCAAATTAATTTTAGATATAAAAAAAAACACAAACCATAAAACGGACCTGTAAAAAAATCAAATTGAAAAACACTTTAATTGACTGACTGATTAAGTAATCAATTGTCATATAAATCCTAATTAATACTAATTGATTTAATTATACAAATTTAAAAAAGTATAAAAATGTATAATTCAGTAGATTCAGATTTCAAAATCAAAAATAAAAGACTATTCATAAACACACTAATACAATTACTAAGTTTAAAATCAAATAAAAAGTATAACCAATAAATAAGTAGATAAAATGATAATACGTAACTCACTTGGGAGAAAGACATTAGGTAAAATAATGCTTGAAAATGTCTGAATGGTTTGTTAGTTATGATTATTTTGGAGAGTTGACGTTATTTTAAATAAAGCGATTTAAATTCTACTAACTTAATGGTAGCCGTATACTTCTACTTAGTTCTTCTACTAGAGCATAGTAAGGTTCCATTAATTACTCATGATAGAAGTAGACACTGCCCTATTTTATTATGGCAATAATGGTTTTAACAAACTAAACCAAACTTGCTTCCAAAAGGATACCTATCATACATATTTTCAAATCAAATATAAAATGAATATCCAAAGGATATCTATCAATCCATTACATTCTTTTCAAATGAAATATAAAATGCACATCCTTTCCAATTGACTCCTCTTTCTTGATCTCCCTAAATTATTCAAGCATATTGATAATTTCAATCCTTACTATAAGTTTCCAAAAGATGATCCCATCAAACTTACCATGTCTACTCCTCCGATATTTAGCATTCTTTAGCTTAGTTTCTGCGCTTCATTTGAGTAATTTCTGGTCTAACTAGATAAATAGCTGACCTTAACCTTTGTTCCAATTTACGTTTAAGTTAATCAGTCGAGCGATATGGCTTAGCCTTTTCTTTAAGAAGATCTAAGTTGGGCAGAGAACAACTGAGAGTATTTTTTTTTCATTACATTTGATAAAAGTATTCCTTTGATATAGATTTTCTAAATTAAAAATTTGCAAATAATAAAAAAACCAATTCTTCTCTTTCTTTTATAATTCATTCTTTCTCATATCTCCTTTTCATCTTATAAATTTTAACTTCACCAGAAAAAAATTGAAATACTGTTTTTATTTATTATGAACTAGTCAATTTTCAGTTCAACATGAAAAAAATTGGATTTTTCACATTATTTTTATCTGATCAATATTCTGCATAATTATGTTTTATGATCAAATCATTAATTTATACAAAGAGGGTACTTTATTGTAAGGTTATGCTCACTCTACATAAATAATCATATGCATCTTTCCATTTTAGGAAATTTCTTCTACTCTACTAACGTACTACCCGTGATATAGTTTGCAAGAGGAACCAAATTTCAGCAAAATCTTAGCTCCAAATTGTGCCTAGTAAATTGTTGTATCGACATTCTATGCTTATCCACTTATAATCCTCACCTCTGTCTACATTTAACCCTTCAAACATCGTGCCAGCTGGTGTCGATGTATTTATCTCAAGCTCACATAAGATATTATTGTTCAATTCATTAAGGCTTACAACAACAATCGATCTTCATCAATTTTCACATGTTAAGCCTGATCAAATTTTATATCCATCCCCTAAGTATGGCCCGTCTTAGAGAAGGAAATTCGTTTCACATATGAATAATCAATACACGTCTTAAGCCGTATCATATTAATTTAATAATTCTTCAGTTTAAAGGGATGTTAAAATCAGATTATATATTCTGATCCTTTCTGAAGTTTTATATGAAAAAAGATTTCAATATTATCTTCATTTGACTACTTCTATTTTAGTGTTTTCGACCAAGGGTGTCTAATATTTTATATTTGGCCGATCTCCCAACTTCTACAGGTTAAAATATCATTTTTATAAGAATTATCCAGGACCAAATCTGAAATTATCATAGATCCAACAATCTGCCATCCTTTTCATAATCTCTTCATTATTCTTCTCTTCCTCATTTCATAGTGTTGTTTAAGGAATAAAATTTCAACATCATATCCCTTAGACTTCCTTTTCACTTTTCACTTCAAATTGTATCATAAAAGACTCAGTACTCTCTAAATAATTATGATGTATTTTATGCATAATCATTTGAATATTAATTTCTAATTTTTCTGTTGGAATTGGTAGCTATTATTATTCCATTTTCATTCACTCAACTTTTAATTACAACCAGAAGGATTTGGGGTACATCAATCTGTTTTAACAACTTGAATTTAAATGCTTGGATTCATGAAAATAATTACTAATCACTATATTTTTTTATTTTTATAAAGATAAAAACTTTGATTGCATTTTATAATTTCATAACTTCAAGATATCAAACTCCTGCGCTGAGAGTGCCCGGCTATGATGAATTTTAAAATAGATCTTATTTTTCATGATGAATTTAAAGTTTATTAGTTAAAATTTCAATTTATGTAAGATTCATTGACTATTGTAATTAAGAGTTGTATAAAAAATATAACCCTAAAACTTTTGAAAGGGTATGGGACATTTTCAGAATTATGATTTTAATTTCGTAATATAAGAAATATTGTTATCAAATTAAAAAGCTTTCTGCTTTCAAGTTAATTTGAGTTCTTTTATTTCTTGGCTATAAATGAACATGAGTTTTAATTTCACTTTATACAAAACGAGCAATCAACTTTGAATCTAACTTTCAATAAGAAAGGTATGTCTACAAAAAACGAATATCCACTCCTATTATAAAGTTTAGAATATTCAATCATCTTTTTAAGGTTTTGGAGATTTTTTCATTAATAAATGTTCTACTGCTAATATAAGACTGTCAACTTTGAACCATTGCTTAATTAATATTGCCAATTAGATTATTAGGAGCTATGAATATTTTGGATTAATTCATTAGACCTTTGCACTAATCGAAACTTGACAATGTGCTGTTTCGATCATTAGAACAGAACTATGGACAATAGACATTCAATCATCTGGTTAAATCGGGATTGGAATTGGAGATACTGGTTGGATATTATGATGTCCGAGTAGTAGACTATAAAAACGAGCATAGTGCAAAGAATGATTAATGATACTTTTACTGACATAATAATTAGAAAAAGGGGAACGAGTTACATTAGGATATTTAGAGAAAGTAATTTTTAGAGCTTTACATTTCTCAAATGTTCCTCTATAAGATTTAGAAAAAATTCCTAAATTCATTCAACTTAATAATAAATCAAATCGTTTTTTTATAATCAGGCTATAGTCTGATTTTGCATTCAAATATTTTGATGCTAGCAAAAATCCTTCTTTGAGTATAAGTTAAAATATCTCTAATTCCGCTGTGGGTTAACAAGAAAGAGTATTTACACCATTTATATATTTTCCTTATTCATATCCAACTTTTATATTTGTAACTCAACGTATCAAATAGCTTTATACTATTGCTATTCTTATTATTCCAACACTTCTTATAAAATTTTCCTCATAAAGTAATCTCAATTTTGTAAGGAATCAAAATTTTCAAATATTTCAAACTTATCACTTATAAAGCTTAATTAAAAATATTTTATCACAAGACTATGATAACTCTTCTATTTCTCATTGGAGCAAGATAAAAAAGAGTTATATTAAATAGTATGTCTTTCATAAATTATTGATTTTTTGATTCTGATCAAAAAAAAGGGAACTTTTATCGAAATCCTTACTAAACCACAAAATGAAGGCGAAATGCTAGTCAGAAAACTTATCACTAGTCTTGTTTGGAGTTAATTTTACAAAAGTTCCAAGCTTTTCTAAATCAATAATCAGTAAAGATATTCCTAAATAATTTAAATTTTTTTTTATGTTATTAAAGGCTGAGAATAATTACTTTTTTTGGTTCTTGATCTCTTTACTGTTTATATAACTCATGTGCAGCGGTTGACGACAGTATACAGAAATAAAATCAATTAAGAGCAATTTTGTTTAAAAAATTGATATACTTTGGAAAACCTATATCATTTTACATTACATAAGAAATTTGTATTAGATTAAATTTAAGGAGAACTAGAATAGAAGTTATGTCATAAGAAGATCATCAGTTTCAATTACGACAACAATTATAAGCTGACCACTGAAGAAGGAGATATTGAAGTCATCCATAAAAAGTTATTCCGAAGAAGACTGTGGTTTTCTGATTTCTCTTCCAAGTACAATGGGTGCAAGTTTATGGTTCAGATTGATGAATTGCCATCTCCTATGGAGATTTCGGAAAAAGCTATTTTCATCATTTGAGGTATCTTCCTAGTTCGTAAGAAGAACAAAGCCTGATTGAATTCTATGGAACCTGAGGAGGATAATATGGGGAGGTAAACAAAATGATTCAAAATTTGAGCAATGAATTCCGGGAGAAGGATTATATTTTGTAATAATTGGTCTGTATTACGACAAACATCACTTACTGTTTACTAAATAGAAAATTATGAAGCAAAAATAGGATAAATTGAACGTTTATAAAAGAATTTATAAAAACTACAAAGACTTCTAGAAAAAGAACAAATGAAAAAGATATCTTTTAGACAGTATCAAATCTCTTGAAAATTTTACAACTAGATAAATTGTTTGAATTTTGGTTACCTAACACCTATAAATTAACAATTAATATTTTGAATGCACAGACCTAATTTTTATTTAATCCAAAAATTAACTCTATACTCTTAGGGTTGAAAACAAATATTATTTGCAAGTTTGCCAGAAGGATTCCATGTTTTTTATTAGAACAAGCCTAGCTCATCTAACTTTTCATTTACTTCGAGTGGAATCGCCATTAGCATCCCATCTAAACACTAAGAGAACGAACTCATATATTGGCAAATCAGTTTTTTTAAGGAGGTTTCTATTAATATTTATCGAATAATCATGTGCTGGTCAAAATACTGAAAATGCCTACCTATTTACTAAGGTTGGATGAAAAAATTATTTGGATTTAGTTTCATGGATGTTGAATTGACAAGTTACCATAGAGGAATAAATATTTAAGAAACTAAATTTTCAAATTAATGGTTATAAAGGAATTAAACTCTTAATAATTTCAAATTTATCGTAC